TTAGAAGTAATAATTGAATTTCAGGAGATTATTAATTGAAACTTTCATTTTGAATTAATGATTTTTTTTTAAATATAAATATATAATAAAAAAATAATTTTTATACTTACTTTTTTTGATATAAAATTTCCTTCGTATGACAGTTTCTTTCTTCATTTAAAATATTTCGTTGATTCAATTGATTAATTTTTACAAATTTTATGTATACTTTAAAAATATTTCTTTATGAAAACAATATTTGTACCAAGTTGAGAATAGAATTCTTGAATTTAACACTATTAATTTTACCAGATATATATGAATTATATAATGAGAAATAGTAATGAGATGTCAATATCAAAAGAATATTACATTGTCCAAAAAATTCCGAATCTCTAAATATTAATTTTTAACGTAAATCAAAATAACAATTCCTAATAATATACATAATCGTTAAATATTGTAATTTTAATTTTAAACGTAGAGAGAAATTTTTAATTTAATTTAAAGTAATATAATTTCTAATTGGAAAAAAAAAATAATTTATGATTAAAAAAATAGTTTTAAATTCGCAATTTTTTGAACCTTTTCTTTAAAAATATCTACATCCCATAACACTATTGAATTAATGAATAATGAATCTTAACAATGAACAATAATAATAATATATGAATATTGAAAATCGATATTTTAATTTTAATTATCATCATAACTACAGCAATATTAAAAATATATGGTAAAAATTGTAACAAATAAATTCATGTTAAAAGATTCACGATTCTTTTTAAAACAAAAGTTATTTTATTGTTTCCTCATGAAAATTGTATACATTTGACTACAAGAACTTTGACAAACATTATTTTTATTTTTTTTTTTTTTTTCCAAAAACGTTTTTAATTCTAAGAAAGGCATTCTCATCTTTGGTGGCATTTTTTCTACTTTTTAAATAATTAATTTTTCTAATTCATCGCAATTATTTATTTAATTTGGGCAAAAAAAAAAATTTAATAAAAAACGCTATTTATATAAGGACCGATTTCAATAACTCTTATGGGAAATTTGACAATTTATACAATTAAATTTAAAAAATATAAATTAAATTTACTAATACTTTCATTTAGTTTTAGTAGTTTTTTTTAAAAGTAATACCTATACATACATAGAATTTAAATTCGCTTTTTTAAATAATTTTTCCTTCATTTCTTGTAGTAAAAAAAAGTATTACAAGACGAAATTTATAAAATTTGTAATGTTTTTTTGATTCTTTCGCTTAAGTACAACGAACAAACAAATATTTATTTTTGTTATTAAGTTATAATAAATATTTTTCAATTCTTTAAATTTAATACTTTAAAGAAAAATACTAATTATTTCCAGTAAATTATTTATGCAAATATTTTATGTTATAAATTAATATTGTATTTGTTAAACTTAAAATTTATTTAATTATAATTTTTTTTTATCATTTATTGTATCAGTTTTCTGTACGTATATAATTTTAGGCAAAAATTAACAAATATTTTTTAAAAAAATTCAATTTTATCAAAAATTCGAATTAATTATTATATTACTAAATTACAGTCGATGAAATCGGTCCTATTTGTATTAAATTACATTCTAACTTGTTTCTTTTTTTAAATTAAATTTTCCTTGAATTTTGACTTTTTAAAAAGTTCTATTACCTACAAGGTATATTAGAATTCAAATACTTTCCAACGAAAAAATCGCTTTCGGTGTATACGTTTTATATATCCAGTAAATACATTTTTAAAAATACATTTTTGTTCATCATAGTTTAGAAAAGTGTACCTGTGTTTTTTGCAATTAAATAAAAATATGATGTTATTATGATATTATTAATAATAATATAATAAAATAATAATTGTTAATAATAATAAAAATAATAATAATAATAATAATAATTAATAATAATTAATTATTCATTAAAATAATAGTAATGTTAAAAAGAAAGTACAAAGGGTAAATAAAAATTTTCAATTTATTTTAAATAATATTTAAAATATATTTTAAAAGAAAGAAAATTAAAATTATGACATTTTACTATTTCTAAGCAAAGTATAAAAATTTGATTTAATTCATGAGAATTACAATTTTCTAAACAGTAAAAAACAATTTAGATAACATAACCTCAAAATTTGACGATAATTTCTTTGAGAATTTTGTTAATCTTTATTTGAATAAAATATTTAATTAATAAATTTTTTACTGAAAAACGTTTTTAATTAAAAAAATATATTTCATTAATTTTAATTCCATATATTGGAATATTTCTTTTTAACCCTTTGCGGTACAAAAACCATTTTTGAATAGTTTCTCATTATTATGTGGCATGTATTTAAATATATTAGGTTCGCTAAAATAAATTTTAAAGTTAGATTTTGAAAATTTAAAATGGCGGATTTAAAATGGCGATATTTTTTTTTAAATGAATTCATATTAAATTCGTTATTCGGAAGAAAAAATCCCCATAATTAATAAGTTTCAAGTGAGAATCAAAGTAATTGAAAAATAGATGTCAAATTCATGTAAATTTCAATGAATTTTTAAAAAATCTTCCTCCATTTTGGACCAGCCATTTTAAATTTTGAAAAACAGATGTCAAACTTGTAATCAACGACCTTGAAAACCCCCGAGTAACAAATTTCAAGTGAATCCAATCAATTTTTTTAAAAATCGTCCGCCATATTGGATCCGCCATTTTGAATTTTGAAAAACAGATGTCAAACTTGTAATCAGCGACCTTGAAAGTCCCCGAGTAACAAGTTTCAAGTGAATCCAATCAATTTTTTAAAAAATCGTCCGCCATATTGGATCCGCCATTTTGAATTTTGAAAAACTAATGACTTTGTAATCAGCGACCTTGAAAACCCCCGAGAGTAACAAGTTTCAAGTGTATTCAATCAATTTTTAATCCTAGACAGTACAATTGACTATCTGTAAGCTTAACTGTCATGGCGGCACACAAACCTTAATTCAGTTTAGTTATATCGAACTATCAATTTTGACCCTAGCGGCGATTATTTACTTTTATAATAACTAGTGGTGATTAATTGAAAATTATCATTATTATAATATTATATAAAATCGATTATTTTGTGAAATGATGCAGAAGAGCAGTTTGCCAGGAACACACGTACAGAACCACACCCAGTATTTGTGAAACTTGCTAGGAAATTGATTGAAATATTTATTAAAATTAATTTGAAAATATAAAATTTGGAAAATTTTTCATTATTTTACATATTATGATTATTCAGAATAAAAATTATTGATTAAACTTATTTTGATATTACTTTTTAGGGATTTTTTTCATTAGGGAAAATTCTTGTTTTTTGAACTTATTAAGAGTTCCAATTTTTTTTTCTAGTTTCAAAAAACGTTTATTGGGCCTTCAAGTACATCTATTCTTAAGGCCAGGTCCAAGTGAGGCAGCGCCATCTACATTGAAACTAAAATTTTGGAAAATTTTCAACAGCCTTTTCTTGAAAACAAGATGGTGAAATGCTTTTTCCTTTATGGATAATTGATTATTGGCAAGATATACACCAGCTAAAACTTTTTTTGAGTTAAAAATAATAAGAAAAATTTCATGTCAATAAATTAAATATGAGCACTTTTTTCACAAAAACTGTAACAGTACTTTCTCAGAAATTACAATCAAAAATGCAATTTCCATTTGGAAAATTAATAAACGCTAAAAAATACACGACCTAAGATTTACCAATCACGAAAATAACAAAAAAAAAGTATTTTAACATAACATATTTTACTCATTATGACAGCCGTTTGGCAGGTTATATATGTCACCAGACGATTCGCAGTTTTGCCGAAAGGAGGAGATTGGCGCTGTTGCTAACCACCTGAAATACATAATCTACCAAAGGGCTGTCACAATCAGTAAAGCAGTATCAATATGTTAAATATTTAATAAAATTTTTTTTTGTGATTTTCGTGATTGGTAAATCTTAGGTCGTGTATTTTTTAGCGTTTATTAATTTTCCAAATGGAAATTGCATTTTTGATTGGAATTTCTGAGAAAGTACTGTTACAGTTTTAGTGAAAAAAGTGCTCATATTTAATTTATTGACATGAAATTTTTTTTATTATTTTAACTCAAAAAAAGTTTTAGCTGGTGTATATCTTGCCAATAATCAATTATCCATAAAGGAAAAAGCATTTTACCTTCTTGTTTTCAAGAAAAGGCTGTTGAAAATTTTCCAAAATTTTGGTTTCAATGTAGATGGCGCTGCCTCACTTGGACCTGGCCTTAAGCTATAGACCTAAGCAGAATAGCTTCGCGAAAGACGTTCGCGAACGTGAAACATGAGTTAGAAAAGGACAGAGATATATTCGTATCCTTTTCTATCTCATGCATCTCGTTCGCGAATCTATTGTGCGTTGGTCTTATGTTGTACTGTCTAGGGTTAAAAAAAATCGTCCGCCATATTGGATACGTTATTTTGAAATTTGTATTCAGCGACCGCAAAAACCCTCCAATTAAAAAGTTTCAAGTAAAATCGAATCAATTTTTAAAAATCGTCCGCCATTTTGAATTTTGAAAAACTAATGACAAATTCGTAATCGGCGATCCAAAAATAAAACCCCCTTAATTAACAAGTAAATCCAATCAATTTTTAACAAATTTTTTAAAAACAGATGCGAAATTTGTAATACCCCTGAAAATCTCCGAATAACAAGTTTTAACCGCAAAGGGCTAAGGAACCTATAAATAAAATATTTTTTAACTAAAAATTTTTAAAATACTTTCCGTAAAAACAAAAAGAAAAAAAACGTCAACAACTGGCACGACAACTAGTACATATAATATTTATAGATGAATTGCATGGATTTTATTTTGTAATATGAAAAAAGTGTAATGTAAGTTTTTTTTTTTTATATGTGAGAAATAATTCGGCAGGCTTAGAATTTCGATCTCATCGTACATTTATTCGTCCGTCATAAACAATAGAACACAATTAATCGTGTATATATAACAAAGATTATTTCGTTTTTTTTTTTTTTTTGATCGGGCGGTGGAAAAAACGTACGCCGTCGGCAATAATAATAATTTTCTCGATCGACGTTGTTTCGCGTGATACACACGCGCGCTTTCAGCAATATCTCGATTTAAAAACCGAATATCTTATATAGAAACCTGGACGAGGAATCAGGAATTCGCTGATCATTATTTATTTATTTTTTTTTTTGCTTGTCGCCAGCGAGTAATTATCGTACAACGACTCTTTTTTTTCCGTTATAAGTTTAATAATCACTTTTGCTAATGTTTATTTCATAAAACATTTTTCATTATAGATTAATTTTAATTCAATTTATTATATTTATATATATATATATATTTATATATAATTTAATACCTGGTTGTCGCAATGATAGTTTATCGTTATTTACACTATTCAGTATAAAATGCGAGTTCGAGATTAAGTCACACCACTAGATCTTTATTTTTTTTTTTTAATTTTTTTCTTTTTTTTTGGACACTATCTGTCGTCGATTAATAAATTATCAATGCTTGTACTCGGGAAAATGCGAAGAGGGCTGTAGGGCAGTATTTCCATTATCACTAGCGTTGTTGGTATTTAATCCTTTAGGGGAACCGTTATTCATTATGTTACAATCTAGACTAAAGTTACCGTCTAGTGGGCATTTTTTAATATTAGGCGAGTGTTTCACATCGATTCCACGTACGTCGGGGGGATTTTCTTGTTGGGATTGAGCATTTTCAGCCTCGTCATTGACGAAGCCATTATCGGTGTGGGGTGGGGATGGATAGTAGCCACGCTGTTTGATTGGCTTTTGATCCGTTGTCAGATGCTGTTGCTGCTGCTGCAGTATTATCTGTTGAAGCTGTTGATGATGATGATGATGGTGGTGATGATGTTGGCTTTGCTGCTGCTGCTGCAACGGCATCGGTGATACAGCCAATGAAGGTGGTGATGGCGGTGGCTGCTGTGGTAGTCGGTGTTGTATTCCCTCCTCACTCGTCCACCGGGCTACTTGTTGTTGAGCTTGAATAAATGCATCACTAGAAAATAACAAGATTATACGAGCCCGTGGGATCTATTTCACGACCGCTAGTGCTAGACGCGAATTTATATGTAAAACTTAATTCCTCTTTTAATAATCCCACATCTAAATTTGCAGCAATACATTGCGGGAATAATAATATTCTAATGTGATACCTCAGATGAAACAAATGAAGAAAGGGAAGAATTTCATGTGACGTCACTGCCACTAAAAACTGCTTGGGATTACAAATAGCGACAGCTAGTGTTCTAAGGACAGTAAATTACGTCAAGAAGAGAAAGAAGATTACGGTAATTTACCGGTAAATTACCGGATCGTTTTTTCTCTGAGAATTTATGAGAATTTTTACTTGTACTTTTATCCTTGTCTGACACGTGCGTTGTCATGACAACGTGTATGACGAGGATAAAAGTACAGACATATGTTCCTGACTGTATAATTATTATTATAATGAAAAATATCTTTGTTACAATATATAATATATATATTAATATATTAATATTGATATAATATTACATTATTATATTGAATCAGGTACATTTATATGCCTGCACTTTTATCCTTGTCTAACACACATGTTGCCATGACGACGCACGTGTTAGACAATGATAAAAGTGCAGGCATATATACCCGACTGTCATCTTGTCAGTAAGAACACAGAGAAAATTAGGGTGCAGTCCCATGGAGCAGATTAGCAGATTAGACGTTGACCAATAAAAAAACAGTCTCTAACGGAAATGCAAAATTTGCCGCGAGAGACTAACTTTTGATTGGCTGAAATCTATTCTGCTAATCTGCTCCATGGGACTGCACCCTTACAGTCTATTATATTCATTGTTCAAATTATTCATTTAATAACATGTCGGTCGTTTATTTATAACTTACATACTATAAAAATACATATTTAAATTTAAAAAAGGCAATTATCAATCACTTAAATGAATATTCTCATAAATTCTCTTTTTTTCGGTAATTTACCGCAATTTTCTTTCTTACATTCTCAGGTTTCAATTTTACCGAGAATTTTAAAACACTAGCGACAGCGCTACGAAGATTTCGCTACGTAGCGATTCTAAGCAACATTCACTTTAAAAATTTTTTTAGCTATCGGGTGACTCAAAAAATGGTATCATTTTGATAGATAGTACAATTGTTTTTCTGTGTATTTTTTCTCATATTTGCTTTATTTTATAATTTAACAATTTTTTTTAGAATCAAGAATGTATCAAATTCATAAGGATTTCCCACGATGAAGAAATGAAGCAATTAAAAGAAATATCTAAAAGCCTGACAAATTTTTCAAGTGTAACACTTCAAATCGCAAAAGTTATAAAAAAGACAATTCTAGACAACGATAATAATTAATATTATTATATTAACATTTTTATTTCTAAATTTAAACCTTAAATTTTTTTATAATTAATAATTATAAACTAAATAAAACATAATAATAATAAAGAAAAAAAGGAGACATTTATTTCCAATTTCCATCTTTACAAAAAATCAAGAAAATAATTCAACTTTATCCAATAATAATAAACTATTTACTTTTCTATTTTATATTAATAATTAAATATTTATTGCATTTATATTTATTATCTTTTTAATAGGATTAAAAGTTTCTATTAGACATTGTCTAAAATGGGAAAAAAAATTTAATTAAAAAAATTTTGAAGATATTACCTCGAAAATAGAATTTTTGTTCTCACGCAAGGGTTAACTAAAAAAATGTATACGGCATTTTTTGTGAGTTAAAGAGTTTATCAAGAAATGAAAATTTAAATCATTTTAATTAAAAAATTATTAATTAATTTAATTAAAAAAATTTATCAATTTTTAAATTTAGGCTGGTAAAGAATATCCTAATTTTAAATCTCATGCAATTATTATTTTTAATTCTTGCAATATAAGATTAATTTTCTTAATTTTTATTTATTAAATTAAATTTAAAAAATTTATTTCCTTTATAAATTATTTTAACATTAAACTAGATAATTTATTTTTAAAGTTGTTATTTATTAAATTAATAGGTTATTTACAATATTAAAGTACAATTTATTTCGTCACTAGTTAATTATTTTATTTGAAACTAACAGTTGGCAAACATGAAGTTAGAGATTTGATTCCACCTTCATATTGTATTTGTTTGCTACGTAAATAAAATATTTTAAGGAAATTGACATGAATTCTATGTCAATGTCCTTATCTAGAGGGGTTATGTTTATATTTTCTTCTAAATTACCATCTTGCAGTTTAAGCTTTGAAGAAACTGTCAACGGTAATTTATTTTGGTCATGATTTGGAACAAGTTTCACTAAAAATATGTAAGTTTTTAATTCTAAATAACGAAAAGCGCTACATAGCGACTAGCGCTATTAGTAATCCCAAAGCTCTAGTTGTAAAGCTACTATTTTCTCAATTTTAATTTTATGACTCCAGTAGTACATGACAACATCGGGATATTTCGTGTGATACCGAGTATTTTCGACGAAAAGTAAACAAAGCGATCTTTCTAAATAAATACCAACGAAGTTCAAAAAGTAAAGAAATAAGTGAGATTAAAATCAAAAAGTGACAAAATTGATAATAATCGTCGTTAATTAGCAATTTTATAATTCAATTTTTGTAAATTCATTCCAATGCATTAGAAAATTTTTTAGGTTAAAAAATATTTTTTTTTTTATTTTTTTTTTAATTTAATGAATGTAATTTAATTTTGTGCTGTCAAAATATTACGTAAATAAATTTCAAAAATATATTCGCAAATAAATATTAACAGGATTGCCACAAGTCAGGGAAATGGCAGGTAAATTAATTTTTGTCAGGGAATTTAATAAAAAGTGATGGAAATATATTGTAAACCTAGATTTCCTTTAAAATATTCATTTGTTATGAATTTATTATACCAAAATAACAATTTTACAGTTAAAGTTAAAAACGGTGACTACGAATACGCGAAAACCATATTAATTTAATTTATTGCTGCAATTTTAGATTCTGTGGTAGTAGATACAAAAATTCGTTATTAAATTATCATCTTCCGAAAAGAATCTCGACGCAGTGCGTTTTGTATAGAATACAAAAAAACTTTGTTTTAAATAATTGAATTTTCAAAGACTATTTATTTAAAAAAAGAGGTAAATAATTGAATTGTATAAGTTTGAAAAAAATAATAGTTTTTTTTTGTTTTCAAAAGTTTCTGTATACTTTGATTGAAGAAAAGAATTGTTCAATATTGAACGTTTCATTTTCAATGTTTGTGTCATTATTGTCACCTGTCGAAATTTGCTTCGCTTTTCTTGAATATAAAAACAAAATTTCAACATTTGGCAAAGCGCGACAAACGAAATACCTTTATGTCAATTTATCAATGAACATTGACGTAAAGTGCTCATTTTGGTTTCACCTTTTCATTTTATTTGAAAATAAATTCTTATGACTAAAATTCAAATTCATATTATTAAAAACAATTAATTTTTCTTGTAGTATTTTTAAATTTAGATATTCTTTTTTAGATATTTTGTATATATATGTATTATTAAAAACGATTAATTTTATATTGCAATCCATTTTTAATCACTTTTTTTATAAGAACAAAAAGCATTGAATCCCTCTACATATTATATAGATTGCATGTTTTATATCATCGGCATTTACTGTGTGCTGATTTTATTTATCAATAAAATGTTTATTTCCAAAAAATGTGTTTCATCAAAATTAAAAAAGGTTTGGATTTCATTTTATTGCATTTGGAGATATTTAATTTAATCCATTCTTCTTTTTTTTCCCTCTTTTTATAACTTTTTGTAACAGTTTATATATATATATACAAAACTGTCCGAATAACGACTTCATTAAATTGACTTCTTTTAATTTACTGGAATTGATAGGCATTAAATTGAAACTCTTCAATTGAATTTAATTATTCTGTTCCAGCGTACGATATTACGTAAATGAAAAATAATACCTATCAATATAGAAAATATTGTCTTAAACTTTCAATAGGATGTAATTTAGAAATTTGATTTGTAATCAGTGTTTTAAAATATCAAGGATTAAAATATTTCGTAAAACTGGTTTTTTTAAAATCAAAATTTTTCTTGAAATAAAAGCTTAATATCTACTTTTTTGACGCACTGCTTCGGTATTCTTTAATATAGTGTTAGTGAAGCGAACTGCGAAGTTTTGGATAAGGAGAGAGAGAGAGACACGATAAGAAAATTCGATTTCAACAAATTGGATTTTAAAATAAAAGTTAGAAAGTGAATATGTAATGCAAGTGGGTCGTCGAGTCTACAGAATTCGAATAAGAGTTTAAGGAAACAATTCCGGAATACGGTTCTAAAAAGGGTTCCGAATAAGCTAATTTTCTAAAATCGGTGTCGGACGAACTATATATATATATAGAAACTAAAATGATTATTATCGATACCTTTCGCTATCGGGCGTATCGCCCCTATGATTTGAGCTTCCATCTTGATCAGCAGTTTCGTAGATTCCTTCTTCCTCATGTAATTGGTGAACATGCTGATGACTATGCTGATGAGATCCGTAAGGACTTCTCGCCGATGGCTGCCGATATCGACCGTAGATAAATCTTGGGTCGTCATCACGACCTCTGCTACACCTCCTGCTTCTAAGTGATTTATTTTATTAGAAGACATTCTTGAAATTTACTTTCTATGAGTGTTTATATCATCAATTGCAACAGGAAGTATTTTCTCCTGCGTTTTAAGGGAGGAAATCACAGGAGTTTGGAAACCCCACATTTGCCAGGAGAGTTCAGTTCAGATTTTGATACCAGCACGTCAACTTCATATACAAAATTAGAACTACTGTTACTCTGCCCGATTTCATACTCAAGTTCGATTTAGAAGAATCTCTGTGTCAAGTGTTAAAAGTTTCTGAATTAAGAAGAATTAATTCAAGTATTCAAGGCTTTGACTTTGCCATAATATTTGGAAATTGTTTAAAGTGCTATTCTGAAATGTGCAACAGAACTGATCTGTGGACTTCCTCCAATTTAGGGAATTTAATTGCTAGTAGAGAGCTAATTCTTCACGCCTAAGAATTTTCGCTTTTGGAATTCGCAAAAGTTCACAATGTTTGGAGATCTCCCACTTAATGTTAATCCCGTAGTTTGGACTTAAGCTGTTCAGTGGGAGATCTCAGTATTTAGGGAATTAGATTAGATTCCTTATCTCCGTTTAATGAATATTGTTCCTACCTAGATTAATAACATATACTTTTTCTGATAATTGAAGGAAATAAAACATACCCTTGGGACGATTCACTGCAAACTGATGAAGCCACTCTGTAAGGACGATCGGCTTCTGTTTCCGACATCCTAATATCCTCGGATTCACTAGGACTCATGTGTCGTGCCGAATGATGTTCTAATTGTCTAATGATATCTTCTAGCGTGCGTATACGAATAGGTCCACCACAAGATGGTAACTCTTCCTCCTCATCATCATCCTGGTTGTCAATATTATCCTCATCATTTGACTTTCGATAAGCGTCACCATATCCACATTCAGCTAGGGATTTTCGAATGGATTCATCATCCAGTATGTTAACACTACCGGACGGTGTTGTTGACAGGCCTTGATGGCTCGCCGCTGTTCTCAACGCCTCAAGTATATCATCATGATAGCCATTCAAACTATTGAGTGTTGTTTCAACATCGGTTAGTTGGCCCCCGCTACCTATAGCTAACAAAAAAATTAAATTCATCTCCAAAAATTCTCCATTCGAATTAATCTTGAATTTTGTAAATTATCAGCGATCACAATATACCGTAACCATCGTGTTTCTTTAAAATTCCCTTCTCAGGCAACTTTGGAAGATTGTTTGCGTTCAGACCAATGAATGAAACAACGTCTCCTGTTCCCGTAACTCCTTCCTCAACGTCAACTCCCAGTCGTGTTTTATGCTCCCTGAAATGTCAACAATTCTCAAAGTTAATCACCCCTAGTTTCATAGTGTCTTGCGAAATGAAGTATTACGATATATTACGCTTTTTAATAATAAATTGTTAATATTTAAAGCGTTATGAACGTAACACATCTTTCGCATACAAATACATATATACAAAGAATTATTGTGCATATGAAAGCAGTGTGAGCATTTGTGCATGACTAAATATATATGATAAAAACAAATTTCAATGGATTTATTGTTAGGGAGGGTCGGGAATTAGGATTCAACAAAGTCTGATGAATACAATGAAGAAAGTTATAACTAGCAGAGTTTGAAGCTAGTGAAACAACGAAACGTGCTTTGTGTGTATACATATATATTATATTTGAGGAAAAGACAGGTCATATACAAGAGGTTTGAAATAAATTTCAAATTATAATAAAAACAAAATTCACATTGCAAAATTAATTAGCTAAATATGTTTTTTATTTCGGCAAAATCTGCGAGGGAAATTTAGTTCGAGTCGAAGTCATTTTAATATAGCCTAACGGAAGGTAGGAGAGTTGTTATTTATGGAAAAGTTTTGTACGTACTTCAATATAACTGTTCGTGTTGCGACAGTTAGTAAAAGTTAGCGCTCCGTCGAGCGTTAATTCGCAGTTCCTCCCATATACAATAATTCGCGATGTATTTTATATATATATATCTCTCAAAAATGATGATCGCGAGAGAGGGCGCCACACATCTATAGTCATTCAGTCACGCGTATATCGCGTTCAAACAGGAAAACTAATTGTCATTAAAAACAAATTATCTCCAAATCCATTTTAAATTAATTGAAATTACTGTAAATTCATTCCAATAGAAAAAATTTGAATGAAAAATTTTAAAATTCTATTCCCAAATTAAAAATTATGTAAATTTCAAAAATCTCGTTTATGGAATTAAAAAATTCGACATTTTTCCATATTATAGAGTTCAATTTCAACAATTGGAGACAAAGGTTGACTGACGCGAAACACGACATTACTACTTAAAAGCATACTGATGCGCGTCAGTAGTGACATTGCCTTTCAGTCAGCCAGTCTGCTATACTTTTTAACTAGACAGATTATTTCAAATATAAAAAGCAACACTTCATGCATCAGCTCAAAAGCAAAAAAGCTGTTGTCAGGGCTTTTCTAACTTTTCTTTTTTTTTTTTATATATTCTGCGTCATTTTTTTTTTTTTTCGTCAAATCGTTTTTTATGAGTTCAACTATATTATATACACCACTGCACTGTTTTTATTAATTTTAAAATTAACTAAATTTTATTTATAATTTTTAAATAAAATCATCCGATTTTAATTGCAAATAAAATGGAATTTAGGAGCAATTCTGTATTACATTAAACTAATTAACGTGGGTTAATTGAGGTTCTCATAGTGTCTCATATTTTCCCTGGATTCTGAGAGAAACTATCTAAGGAAACCTGAGACCCAGAACACATTATACCAAAGGCGACACTTTTCACAGCAGTGATCACTGAACTAGAACCGCCCCCTGCATCTTGAACGTGTCTGGGTTTGAACGACCCCTACAGCACATAAATCTTTCTTGTTAACCTTTGAGATTAAAATGTTTGAAGTCAATTACCAACACTCTAACAATAAGATATTTTAGGGATGATTTACATTATTTCCTATTTACATTTCTCATATTGTATACCATTTTTAACTCGTTTCTAAATTTTCTCGTTTTTCCTTCATGTTGCAGAAAATTGTGTTCTACTAAAATTAGATATGTAACTTTTCTATTTTAACCCAATTTGGCATTAGAATTAAATCTGTAACCCATTTGAATCGTTATACGAACCTGTCTAGAATTTTGTACAATTTTTGAATTTATTCCCGTTTTATTTTATGACATAGTCTTGAGAGAATAATATTAGAGGATAATGGAGGAGAGACTTTTTGGATTATTTACTTCATTTTTGTAACATCTGGATTGAATAATAAATTATTATTATTAAGAAATAATAAGGAGTCCCTGAAATACCCTTACAACACGTTCCCTGATTACTTTTTAATATTTCTCATGATTTAATTAATATAATCGATCTTGGAATTCCGTGACAAGAGAGCACAAGCATCTTGTGTATCATTTGTTTTGTCTGTCTTCTATTTTAATCCGCCATTTTAAAAATTATGTCATAAATTAAAAATGTTTAATTAAAGTGTTTGTAATTTTGTTGAATTTATTGTATTAATTCAAATTAATTTTTTTTGTGACAATATTTGTAGCATTCTTTCACGAATTCCCTTTCTCTACCGATTTATTTTGAGTAGCCGAGAAAATCAAGTCGTTGCAATTTATTATTAAATTTTTTTGTGATCATTCGCGGACAATTTTATTAATTTAAATTTTTATTTATTGGCAACGCCAGTGTAATCTTAAATTTACTTCTATTTAATTACAACTAGCGATGTATTCCTCGCTCGCTCGGTTAAAATTGTACTTATTGTTGTTTACTTATTGTAGTTTATGTATATTATATATATAATTTATGTTTTAAATTAATATCTTATTAATATTGTATAAAATTTATCTTAAAATTGAAAAAAGATGTTACATAAAAATAGTTTGTAAGATTTTCCAAAAGCATATATGCAAAGTATTTTGATTTATTTGAAAATAATTGATTATAGATTTTTCAAGGACGGTGTCGAGGTCACGGGGTCGGTGTCGTTTTTCGAAATTTGTTAACTTAATATAATAGAAGATGTTTCGTTTTAAATTAAGAAATGTTAAAATTATTAAGTTAAAAACATTTGATTTTAATGACACTTAAAATTAGACACAATATTATAGGTTACTAACTAAAAATTGAAAAAACAACAATAAATAATAAAAAATAATAATAAAAAATTGAAAAAATCAAAAAATTCTTAAAAAATTGCAAAATAACCCTTTTTCGGGATATAATTGCAAAATAACCCTTTTTCGGGTTAAAATTGAAAAATAACCCTTTTTCGGGTTAAAATTGAAAAAAGATGTTACATAAAAATAGTTTGTAAGATTTTCTGAAAGCATATATGCAAAGTATTTTGATTTATTTGAAAATAATTGAAAATAGATTTTTCAAGGACGGTGTCGAGGTCACGGGGTCGGTGTCGTTTTTCGAAATTTGTTAACTTAATATAATAGAAGATTTGCAAAAAGGGTTACAAATCTTATTTTAAAACCTTAACATTTCATTTGTTAATCTAAATTTAGTCTTTACTGATTATTAATTAAAGAAAATTAAGATGTTTGGTATTAATTAATTATTATTTAATTATGGAAGGTGGAATTTTTTTGGTATAAGAGATTAAATAGTTATATCTTTCTTTAATTTTTTCTAGTGTATCAATTGGATAACCAATTTTACGTTACGGCGACGTAAATTGATTGTCAAATTTTAAATTGCGGACTAGGACTATTCTTCAAAGAAAGGACCTACCTCAATGTAACATAAAACTTAGAAACTAACGACACAACATAACTACATGGGTAGTTGACCTTCGAACGCCATCCCTGGAATTCCAAATTACGAGGTTTTGCTTCTCACCCCATTGCAACATTCGAACAAGGGGAGAGAGTAACTCATAAATCTTTCCTTTATCGTTTCCTTGTGGTAACACTATAGAGAGGTTATTTGGCAAGGCGTTTCACGAACTACTTGAATCTTAAAAGCAGGATAAGTTTCCAAGATTTTTTTTACTTATTTTTCGTATAACCCTTATTCCTAAACTATCACTAGTTTACACAGATTTTAATCCACGACATTTAACCCACATTTCTCATCTAAAATGACCCATTGAATCCAAAAATAAAGTCCAAAATTAAAAAAGTATAACAGTTTTTTAAGATATCGTTGTTTTTTCACATTTTCCACAATGAAAAAAAAATCGATTTATTTAAATGTAAATATATTCGGTTCCAGTGAAAGGATTTAAATTTTCTTTTTATTAAATTAGAGGTAATTAATTTTCCAAGCAACCGTCTATAGAATATTTTTTTAATGCGACCATCGTCTTAAACGCTATTGATGAATATATCAAAAATTTTGATTCAAATTTATGAAAATTTAGAAAAAAAACTGGATTCTATTGATTGCGGTTAAATAAAATTTTTAATGAACCGATTCATGATTGATAATTAAAGTCTATAATGTGTAATGCTAAAAATAAGCGGTTATGAAAGAAAATCGGTTGAAAAATATATAGAAGTTGTATTTTAGAAAAAAATACAGAAATTCAATTTTTCACATTTTTATGATTATCTTGATTTTATTGAATATAGTGTTAATTTAAAATCTTTCAACATATTAAAAGTGACTTATGGATTATTTAGTCTTTCTTTTATATTGAGTTGTAGTTTCTCTAATTAGAAACCAACAAAATTCACTCAACATTGCTTCATCCCTAAATCCCAGGTACCGATTATCCATGGTCTTGAGTTGTTGGTGAAATTATTGTAATAATTATTTATTTATTATTATGTTATTATTATTATGATTACAATAATTCTTTTTCCATTATGAATAACATTGAAATTGTTTTAATAAATTACATAAGGAATAAAAATACTTCTAAATAAATATAAAATTTGCATACAAATTTAATAGTTTTTACAAGTAAATTTATGTTTATTTTGTTATTAAAATTTTTATTAAAAACTAGTTGAAATATCTTAGAAAAAAATAAAAAAAATCCTTTTGTTAAAATGTTTAAATAAGTTTACTTAATTTGTTAAAATAAAAAAAATTTCTCAAGACAATGGAAAATACCAGAGATTTTGAGATGAAGCGATGATGGGTGACTTTTGTTGGTTTCTCATTAGAGAAACTACAACTCAACATAAAAGAAAGACTAAATTATCCATAAGTCACTTTTAATATGTTAAAAGATTTTAAATTAACACTATATTAAATAAAATCAGTTTAATCATAAAAATGTGAAAAATTGAATTTTTTTCTAAAATACAACTTCTAT